CCCCAAAACCCCAAAACCCCAAAACCCCAAAACCCCAAAACCCCAAAACCCCAAAACCCCTTGGGTTTACCGCTTTATTGAGAAAAAATCATAAAAATAGAAACTAAAAAATGGAATCAGCAGAAGAAAAACAGAAGGAAATCCTTAAGACATTGGACTTCCCTTCTGTCGCTGCCATGCAAATGGCATCCATTGATGATATTGGCAAGTGAATCTCTAAGAACCCTCAGCTCTCAGATTTAAAGGTGGGAGAGCTTTACATGGAATACGCAGAAACAATGGGCTTCAACTTCGACAGTTGCTGGGAAGAAGTCTTACGAGGAATAGAAGGCGTGAAGAAGTTCAACACAGGAATTGATGCCATCGATAACTCACTAAAGAAAGGAGCAGAATTATGTTCAGATGAATTAGTCGAATTGGTAGGCCCTAGTGGGGGAGGTAAGACCACCCTGGCATTGAGAATAGCATCTAGAGCAATTTTTGAAAAAGATGCAGAGGTTATCTATATCGATTCCAGTAACTATTGAAACCCAGATAATATCAAGGCATTACTATCATTGAGCATGAAGTCTTATGAGGATTCAAATGAGGAGATGTTGTATAAATAAGCTCGAAAACTTTCGAATCATCAATGTCTATACTTTAGATGAGCTCATAATCTTTTTGTCAACATTGATATCATGATGAAAGAACCCAGTTGGAGGATTTTCAAAGCCTCACATTTGAGTAATTGACTCAATATCTGCCATGTCTTCATGCTATCAAAAGAGTGAAACAAACAAGCTACTGAAAGAAGTTCTTACACTTATAAAGAAGCTGAACAAGAAATACCATTGAATGGTTTTATTCACTAATAATGCATATGATGGAGCAAACACAATCTGCGAATTAACTAGGCTTACTCAGGAACCTATCGATATCAGCGTTGATAAGAGTATTTATTGATGTAGAGGGAAAACAGGCACACAATATCTTGTTATTAACTCATAATTTGTAAAGAATTGATAAAAAATATCTTTTCCCATTCTAAAATTCAATTTGGATTGATTTTAAAGGGGTTTTGGGGTTTTGGGGTTTTGGGGTTTTGGGG